GAATTTAAAACTAGTCCATCACGGGTATTACGAATTTTAGGTATTTATGTATAGAAGAATATTTAAGTTTAACAAGGTAGGTACCTTTCCTTTTCATTTAGGATTGTTTCTGCACTGTAGATAATAGAAAATTAGAACACTTATACCTCATACCCCCAAGGGGAGAGAGAAATGATTTGTTATGGGTGTTCCATAATTACTGTTAAGATATGAAGCAAATGGCTCTCATGCATATGTCGCCTCCTATATTGTATATTATTTTTCCTTTCTGGTTGAATGCCAATTCTCTGATAGCAAGTATAGATGATCATGAGGTAAGAAGGGTTGAAAAAAATTCTTGGTTAGAAAACACTTGACTGTGATGCAGATTGACCTTCTTAATTTATGCACTCAGTGTTGTGTCACTGACTTTGACTTTCACAACCAATAGAGGTATAGGTAAAGCTAATCTATAGAAGCCATGCTTAGACAACAGAGATTACGGTTAACCAACAGAAGTTATAATTAACAATGGAAGTCATAGTCAGGGTAAATCATGGAATGATTAATAGTCAATCAGGTTTAATCAACAGAAGCCCTGATTGACCAACTATAACAATATTTACCAACAACTCAAATCAGTGACTCTTCTACTAACTTCACAGAAATCTGGTTTCTTAAGTTCATAAAATATCACCTTCAAGGGACACATTGATACTAGGGAATATTTTATGGAATTAAAGTATAATGCATTCAGGATTTTGGTTCTGGTTATAGGTAAGGATTTTACCATAAACTTCATTCATTTAATCAACAAATTGTTGAGTATCTGCTATGTATCAGGTTCTGTCCTAGCCTTGGGGGTATTCAACTGGTATGTACCAATGCAGTTTTATTAAATGTTGAGATATTGACATTCTTCCCCACCAGTTATTGGTTAGCCATTGCCTTGAGTCTTTCCCTCCACAACCCAAGTCCACTGTCTTGATTCCAAGGAAGACCTTAAGTGCTGCCTCAAGTTCACCTTGGAGCCCATCAACCTACCTGCTCTACTTCCAGGGAACTGGCCCCCATGCTCTTTCTTTCCTGCCCCCATCAGGGAGACTGGGATCCCAGCAAGGAAGCTGTCACAGGATCATAGTACTGAGTACTATGACACCCTAATGTGAAAATTCATGTCACAGACCCATGTAACCTCTGCAGTGGACAGTGCTGTTGCTTGATGCTTTAAAAACATACTTGAATGGGTATAATAAAAGGAGAAGCAAAATAGCAAGGTTGCCTAGAAGAAGCATTCATGTGTGCTTGGCTCACCCAGAGAAGGATGAAGGCCTAAGGCTGCCTGGGTTCACTGAGAAAAGAGTGTCCCAGCAAAGTGAAAGAGTAAAACTGGTGTCAGCAGCCCTGAAACTTACTGGAAATGTTGAGCCACAAGTCCATGGTCCAGTTATTGAAGCGTTTCAGCTTACATACAGCTACTGAGCTACCTGCACACAGCGCTTTTGATGACTCAATTCTACATTAATGTAAAAGCCATCTGAAAGTCCTCTTTTTGGAGTCTACTTACAAAAAATTGCAGCTTTTGCCCATACAGATGGAGCATCTCTTCCTTCGTCTTCAAATACCACCTCTTCCTTAGCCATTTTCTTTATCTACAGAAACTCCCTCATCCCCGTCCTGAGACCATTCCAACTCACTACTCCTTGGTATAATGACACACTTGTCATCTCAGAAATTTGCAGCCAAAAAGGGTCTTGGAAATAAGACAATCAGCCCCTCACTTAGATGAGGGAGCTTAGCGCCCCAGGGCTGTGACTCCCCCAAGGCCACACAATGGTGATGAAGAGGCTGAAGGCCCAACTTCCACTCCGGGCTCTTTCTCAACTTCCTCTTGCCCCTTGGGTTTCTCTTCCCAAGCACCCCAAATCCTTGCTCTTTATAGGCTAAGCTTTTCAGTCTTTTTGCCTCCAGCTGTGTCTCTACCCACCTGCTGCTTCAAGAACTATCACCCTTGAACCCAATACTCTAAAACTCATTTTTACCTGAGAAAAGTTTGGAGTTACAGTTTAATTGCCTAGAGCATGAGACTCTCAATTTTATGTTCGTGAGCGACCTTTGATTCACATTAAACCACATAAATGAGAAACTCCTGTGTTTTTCTCTAAATTCCTCAAAGAGAAAGTTTTAAGCCAGTATTGATCTGTTTCCAATGTCTGCTTAGCTCCTTTTCAGTAAGGAGTGAGGAGGGCGGGACCACAAGCCTCTAACAGATTCAGTATCTAGTTAGAGTGAAATAACATTTAATGATTGTTTTGTTTGACTTTCATGTTATTTATCTTATGAGTGCCTTCTAATATTGACCATTGGTACTGGTTTCCTGATTAAGCCAGAGAGGCAAGATTTCCATTTAAATAATGTTAAAAATGAAAAGGAAGAGTGAACTGAAATGAAAATGTTAAGTAAAATTGAGGTGGTGTGGGGCTGTGGTGACACACACACACATACCCAAAAGGCTCCTCAGAGCAGTGGTTTTCGTAACAGTTCAGTCTCTACAGGGGAGACAAGGAATCTCTACCATGCAAACTCTCTTTGGCCTCAGAGGGCACTTCTGTTTACCCAACCCATGTATAAAAATACCTCACAGCATATATTCTAGTCAGCAAGTATTCTACCATGGTGGAAATGATTTACTGAAATTTAGACCTTCTGAAATCCAGCCAAAAATCTGATTGGGAAAACCAAGAAGTCCTATTTAGTTTCTGCCATCACTGTCGCTGAACCACACTGACTGGATAATGAGTGACATATAAAGTTCCTTAATTCTCTCTTCTTCTTTCATTTGAGCACCATGAGATTGTTTTTCTCTCCTCCACGGTCACTCACTAAGAATTTGCTGAACTGAATATTCAGGTTTGAATAAACGGAGGTCACCTTTGTCCATTCCTCACTTGCTTCCTACATGCAGACAAGACTAGCTGTTCAATCAGGAGAGCAGGGAAGTTTTGTAAATCGAGTTTATACAGCTGGCAGCCGAAAGTGGCCTGTAGGTATTTTTTTGCAGGAAAAGATGTGTTTTGAGGTAACCACTCTGCACAGACTCTGTTAGGGCTTTAGAGTATTTGTAACCTATTATTTTAGACTCTGAGCATATTTGTAGCTCCAGAGGTGCAAAAATAAACTTGAATTTTCTTGGAAAATGTATGTGTCTGGGATGTGACAGGAGTTGCAATTTTAAATAAGATTTCCAGGCATTTACAGTTGAACCATGCCCCTAAAAATATGTTTATTTAAACATTAAAATCCTAGGGTGGCCACATAAATATCTTAAACAATGTGTGTTACATGAGCTTTGTTTTCTAATACATTTTAACTTTGATTGTTCTTAGTTCTGGCTCCTGGAGTGTTAATGTACTGCAGGGAAAGTTGAACTCAGAGGGTGAATCTTATGGGTTGTTCATCACCTTGGGGGGGATGAGGAGGAATGTTTCTTACATTCAGAAGAATTGTTTCTAATGTAGGTAAAAGTCATTTCACAATTGATCAGGTCCAACTGCTTGCTTTTAATCATAGCCACATAGAGGGTTTTCTCAGAAAATTAGAAGAGGGAAAAGACAGCAGGTATACTGTTCATTCACTGTTCATTTACTGTCACATTTAACAAGCATCACTTGAATAGTCATCATCTGCAAAGCTGTAGATAGAAATGGAGAGGACAAAGAAGATGCAGAACCTGGCTCCTGGAGCCTCAAAACTGCTTTATTTCCTCAACGTTTCATAAAAGTCAGGATGACCTGCTCCCTCTGTGAACATATAATTTTCAAAAAGTTACATATTCAGATATTCAGTAAGCACATGCTGATTTATTTAACTCATTGAGGAAAACAATAGGATGACAAAGCGGGTTCAGAGATAAGAGAAAATTATCTAAGTAGGTTGATAATAAATAGATATATTGATCGATAGGGTGAAAGGAAAAAAACTGCTGATATAAGGTTGCAGAGTTATATACAAAACTGGTTAATGTCCTACAAGGCAATAAAACAATAATCTTAAGTTATATTTCAACCAGACAGAAATCCTTTGCACCTAAACTAGACAATTATTTGTGATTTACCAGTCTTCTACAATCTTTACAGAGACTAGGTCCAATCAATAGTAAATAGTAAGTCAAACAAAGTTACCTTTCCCAAGAGCATTAGGTGACTCTTAGGTGGGCTGGTGCTGTAATGAGTTGGTGCTATAACACAGCAGGCTGGGCGGAACTTCCCCCAGAGATGAGAACTGGCTGTATCTATGTAGCTATTGGCCCTGTGCAGCTCTTTAGTATTTGAAATGTGACTGGTGCAACTGAGGAATTTCAGTCTTCACTTTTTAAGATTTTCATCATTTTTTACTTAAATAGCCTCAGGTGACTAGCAGCTACCCTATGGGACAGCACAGCTCTAATCTGCCTGTACATGGGCAGCTAAGGACTCTCTGCCATGTTTCCAACCTTGGATAGTTTTTTCTCAACAGTTTGTAGATAAAATCGTATTTTAAATTTTGTAACAGAAGCTAAATATGTAAAAAGATTTCCAAGAAGATTCCTTTGAACTAATTCTTTCATAATTCAAATAATTTCTTTTGCAAGTACAGTGCCTCTTATATTGAGTTTCTAGAGAGTGGACTCACCTGAAATCATTCTGGCCAGCAAGGAAGCTGCTTATGAAACTAAGTCTGTTTGAAGGGAACCCAACTCTGCTTTATGTTTCCCAAGTAAATCAGCTTGGTATTAATTTTCTTTTAGCAAGATAATAAACAGTATGTCTAGTTTTGATTAAAAGGGGCTTTCTGGGCTGCAACAATGGGAGAGCTGCTTATTAATATTTCACAAAGGTTTTAAGGCTTAACTAAGTTAACTTTTCTGCTGCCATCACTTCATTCCTCAGAATGAGCCCTCAATGCATTGATAATGTCAGCTTTGATTTCTCACAAAGCCCGGTTGGCTTACTCAGTTTTCTCATCTTCTTACTTGCTTGCAGGGTTTTTTTCGCAGAAGCATTCAGAAGAACATGATTTACACTTGTCACCGAGATAAGAACTGTGTTATTAATAAAGTCACCAGGAATCGATGCCAGTACTGTCGACTCCAGAAGTGCTTTGAAGTGGGAATGTCCAAAGAATGTAAGTGGAGACTCAAAAATGTTTTCTTCCTCTTTGCCATATCTATAAATATGATTTTGCTCAGCTTCCAAAATCCATTTGTGGAGGATGTCAGCATGTGGAATTCAGACATGACACTAATGATAGCTTGCCAAGGGTAGGTGTAAACAGAGACTGTCATGAAAATAGAATAACTGTGGGGACTTTCAGATAAAACTTGAATGGCAGTTGGTGCAAATGCAGGAGTTAGGTGTCCTGGGGGCAGTCGTGTATTCCAGAGCAGCTTCTAACTCACTGTGTGTTCCAGAGTCACTAGTAACTCAAGCATGTCGCATAGTTACTCGGTGACTCCATTTCCCCAACTTGACCATAGGAATAAAGAGTTTGCCTGTACTAGTGAGTATAAATGAGACAAGAGATTGAATAGTAACAGTGGTGAAGATTTTCCCCCTTTTAGAAAGGGAATATCAACTTTATTGTGGAAGAAACATATAAAAAAAATGGTTTGGTAACATTTTTCCAAACTTGATTTAACTTTTTTCCTTCCAGCCACTCCTTTCCCCAAACAATCATGCAGTTTATTAATGTAAGAGAATGTTTCAGTAAATTTAAAATTACTGGTCCATAAACATCTGATCGTGGGGATTTGAAATGCTTGGTTCGTATAGACAGAGTATCTACACCACAGAAGAATTTCACTACTTGCATTCTGTCTTTGGTTCTTTCAAATATTGGAACAGGAATGTGACAGGTAGATGACTGGGTTCAGGCAGTCCTAGGAAGACAATCAGGGTGTGTGCGTGCACTGATGGACTTACTGTGCTTCCTTCATCCTGTTCCTTGGGGGTTTGGTAAAGGCAAACTGTGAGTGAGGCACTGGTCCAGGTACTGTGGGGGGACTCTGGGGATGCCAGAGACACATCCTCTGCCCTCTGTGTGGGACAAAATTCCAGGTACCTTGGCCACAGCTTCACGGTGGGACCTGAGTACAGTATTACAGGTTCTTAGATACTGGAACTGGAAGGGTGGCCCTCAGAAGCAGTCTGTGAGGAGGGAAGGCCCCTCTGACAACAGCACTGCTCTGAGGGTGTTCAGCCAGAGGTGGGCCTTCTGCTGGGAGCTGCTGCATAAGGGTGTTTCTTGGTAGATGCCCAGCATAGAACCTGTCCTTTCACGTTTCCTAACTATGCCCAAGGTTTAACCGGCTTTTCCACTTCTTGGGCACTATAGATGGAAGAATGGAAAGATAAGATAGAAATATCCCTGAATGGCATCATTGATTTACTAAACTAATTGACCCCCTAGTCTCTGCGTCTATATCTGTCTTGTTATAATTGGCAGGAAGTGCCCGGTGAGGCACTCCAACCTGGGGTTGGAGTCTTGTGCGTATTTTGGGTCCTGGTGAACAACGGTGAATGGGGATCATCAGCCGTGGGGGCAGTCCTCATAGTACATGTGATGTATTTCTTCTGGGAATGTCTTTTTCCTCTGGATAGTTCTATCTGCAGAAGATGTCAATTGACTGCATTTTAGCCAATTCCCTTCAATCCCTGCAAAGTTTAGAGCTTTTGAAATATTTATAATCAGTGACTGTGAGGATATGAAGCTAATATTCTCTTAGCTCAGATCCCAAATCCTACCACTGTAGAGAAAAACATGATGTTGACCTGAAATAACAAGATTATTTATATGTATACGTGAGACTCACAGGCTGATCACCTAATGCTCCACTTTTAGTCTGACAGTCTGTGACATGCATGTTACACTGCAGTTTTGTGGGAGAATTTCAGTTCAGGCTGAAATTATAAATGAGTAAGCCAGATGTGGACTCAGGGAAAATCAGTACTTCTGCATTTATTTTGTGTGGGCTGGAGACCCATTTCCTGCTTACATTACTTAAAACCCATATCCTGCTGCTCTGTAAAAACTGGCAGCTTGGCTGGCAATTAAAAAAAATAATGTTTACACCCACAGGAAAACTCTAGTTTCAACCCTCAAGGAACTTATCACCTTAATTAGATTTAAAAATATAGAAATGGGAAGAAAATGGGATCATTATGTCCAAATATAAAAAAAAATGTGTTTTTCTTAGAAGGAGATTGATGGGAAAGAAATAAACAGTTGGAGTTTAAGAACTGATAGTCTAATAGGATATTTTTAAAGCTGAAACAGAAGGAAGCAGGAAAACATGAGAATCAGTAACCAATTATACCACAGTATACACAACTGAAATGGACCCAAGAATAATAGAGACCCAGAATGTTAGAATTGAAAAGAGATCTTAGAGATTGATTTTCAACTCACCTCTCTCATTTGACACACAAGTACACTAGGACCCAGAAAGATGAAACGATTTTCCTGGCAATCCCTGATATATCTAAAGACAGAATGAAGATTACTATTCATGCCTGCTACCTCACCTTGCCATGCATTCTCTGTAATACCAAGACTAGTAAGCCTTGTATGCAGTTCTAGCCTTAGGTCTTGTCAATTTATTAGTGTGTCAGAACTCTCTGGATGCAAGTAAAAGTCCAGCCCAAGCTGGCATAAGTTAGGAAAAAAATGGGCGCATGTAACTGCAGTCCAGAGGACTCACAGGATTCACACTGGTTTTCAGGGTATTGTTCCTCTTTGTTTCACAGCTGGTTTTTGTTGTATTGGTATAGCTTCTGGGAAGAATTTCTCCATGGCTGGTAGAGATGGCTCCAAAAGCTCCAGGCTTGTTGTCTGCCCTGTAGAAAGAAACTCAGGTCTAGAAGGCCATTCCTCCAGTGCCGAGGGACCAGCTCATTGGCCTGATTTGGGTCACGTGCCCCCTCTGTGACTGTATTGTTTTGCGTGGAGAGCGCATGCTGTCATTGGCTAGGTGTGGATCATGTGCCAGTCTCTGGAACCCAGGATTAAGGGCGACCCCACTGAACCATATGGGTCAAGAGTGTGGGAAGAAATGTTCCTTAGTGGAAGTCAGAAAGAAAGAAGGCAGAACCTACTTCCTGTTCACCATGATATGTCAAATCTAAGAGAGCTACTCTTCGTACGTTCTTCTTTGTGCTGTTAGTGGGTAAAAGAAGCATCAGACTAATAATAACACACAGACAGGGTGTTTTCTGGGTGCCGAGCACCGCATTAACCACTTTAATACTTGGTTCCATTTGTTCCTCACACAATCCTATGAGCTAGGTTTGTTGTAATCTCTTGCTGCTTTTTGGATAGATGTGGAAGCTGAAACAGAGAGGTTAATGAGCTTACTGAAAGTAACACAGTAAAGGGGTGGTGCTAGGTTTTGGATCCTCATAAATTGTAAAGTTGTTGAAACTGTAACAGAAATTGCATGCCATAAAAAGCAGTTTTTAAGGCTCTGAGTTCCCTTTTCACTTCTACTTTATTGCCAGTTGTTAATAAAACAATAATCACACTCTTTACCCTGTATTGGAGATGTACTTCCTAGAAAATCATGTGTGAATTTAATTTTTATAGATCAAATTTGTTTTTAAATGTGTAAAGGGACTTATTAGTAAAAGAAATCCTTTAATATGGTTCATGAGAAAAGCATGACTATTCCTTCGTTTTTCTATTTTGTGAATGCTCGGTGATATACCTTATATTTTCCAAGGACTTTGTACAATGAGGGGAGCCTTTTTGCAGAGGAATAGCTATTTGTCAGAGCTAGGAATTTGAAAGCAGCAACAGCAAGTGAAAAAAATCGATTTTCAGCAGCATTCTAAAAGTAGTACCAAAATTTATGAAGAACTTGGGAAGAAGGCAAAGGAAGCAAGTTGCCTCCAAGTTGAGTGATGAGCTTTTGCTGGTGAGGTAAGCGGCTGGTAACGATGTCAGCAAAGGAAAGTATGTAGCGAAGCCCTAAAATAAAAACAAGAAATAAAACAGAAACGATAAATGAAGACATAAAATTGGGGATTGTGAAGGAGATGTCTGTAGAAGCTTATGATGCAGATAAACAACTAATTGTTCATGATGCCAAAGGAGAAGGTTTAAGATGCTTCAGCTTAGAGACTCCGGGTGGGAAGCCTGGCCATGTGCATCTGCAGAAATTCAAATAAATGCTCCAAATCTTTAAGCCAGCAGTCAGCAAACTTTAAAATGGCCAAATAGAAAATATTTTTGATGTTGTGAGCCGTGGGACCTCTATCTCAATTACTTAACTCTGTCATTGTAGCACAAAAGCAGGCACAGAAAGTACCTAAACAAACAGATATGGTCATTTTCCAATAAAATTTTATTTACAAAAGCAGGTGCATGGTGGATTTTGGCCAGAAGACCATAGTTTGCCTACTTCAGCTTTGAGGGGTTCACCCATTGGCCAGATATACCTCTTAGGGCTGCTCTGTGATCTCAATGCGATCTCAACTCCAGCTCACCTCCTATTCCCATCTGCTCATCTCCTACCAATAGATAGCCCAGCTTCCAGCCACACTGGGCCCCAATGACCCACGAACCTCACATCTTCTTGTTTCTATAGAAGTTGCCTCTAGGAATTGGGCTTCCACCTCCTTTTTCAGTTGAACACTAAGAACACTTCCTCTTTGAAGCCCCATATTCTAGAAACTCTAGCTGGGGTTGCTCATTCTTTCCCCTGTATTCCCAAAATGCTTGGAAAATCCCCCCCCCCCCCATGAGCCACAGACTTTATCATGGTGTGATTCTTCACACACCAGTGAGGATCCCTAGCTGGGTTGTAAACTCCTAAAAGGCAGGCATCATGGTGTCCCTCACCTTGTAGCCCAGAAGGTAATGTGATATTTTGCTCAATGAAATTAGATTGGTCAAGTGGTTAAACATGGCATTTCTTTTTTTTTTTTTTTTAAGATTTATTTATTTATTTATACAAGCACTGGGTAGAGTCAGAAGCACAGGAGGGTGAGAGAATTCACCAGAGCCAGAGCAGGGAACAGAACAGGCAGACTGATGAAGTACACTGCTGAGGGGAGTGGTGGGTGCGGCAGGAGAGATCTGCACGCTACGTGGGACCCTCGCTGGCTGCGCCACCGGGGAGGCCCTAA